TGCTCTATCCTGTGCCAATCTTATTGCCATGCTTGACACTTCTACCTAGGTTGCCCTTTCTGTTCGTCTACGTGTGCTACTAACCTGAATTATAGCCTTTTGACTTCCCTAATGTGATTCTGTGTGGTCTTTGAGTTATCACAACACATTTTGGACACAGAAAAGCAGTAGGATTGGTGTTGGGATGAATAGAAAGATGTGGGGGACCTTGACCTTGAGAGATATGTCTGACCTCATGGGAATGAGTTGGTTTTTTTTTTTTTTAATTAGTTTTATGTTGCTGATGTTGTTAACAGGGACGATTCCCCTTTATGGAGTTGGTAAAGGTCAGATATATCTGTCCTCACAGGGATCTTGCTCTTTCTGCAATGATTTTAAATTTTTCTTCCTTGATTTTCAGTGCTAACCTGTCAGTGTTATATGCATGGATACTTAGAGTTCTGCACCTAAGGTTGTATTTTAATTTGAAATTTGTTTGTTAGAATTTTTTTCTGTCTTGAGGCAGTTCAGAAGTAGTTGAACTGTGGCGAGTTATGTTTTTTTAAAAATAGTAGGAACACATCAACACTAAGTCTCTCTTTTTTTTTTTTAAATTATTTCCCTTGTTGTGTACCATCGAATCAAATCCAACTGGCACAGAAGGAGATTGCCCCTCCTTCTCTAGCAGAGCATCTGGTGGATTTGAACTCTGCACTCCTGGAACTTCAGTGCAACCTCTTGCCACTAGGCCACCAGAGCTTCCTGCTAAGTCTCTTTTGCTAAGTAACATTGGTTGTAGCACAAAAAAAATCAACAACAAACAAAACTTGCTATCAAAATGAGAAGTATTATCTCTTTCAAGTCTCTCATTTAACAGAGTGGGGTTTTGTGGTTGGGTTTGTCTTTTTTTTCATTAGAAAAAGGGAAAAGTGGCTTATAAAAGCCTTGTGGTTTGAAAACATGAGTTTGAAAGTATAATGCACCTGCCACTTGTGCTACACTTGAATTTAGCTGGAAGGCTAAGGAGCAGTTGGGTTAAAGATGTGTTGACAGCAGTTGACAAAAGTGTATTTGAATAACCTGCTCTGATACTTTTACCTTTCAGGATGGAAAAAGAGCATTTCTCCAAAAATAAGAAACTAAATGAAGAGATCGACGAGCAGAAGAAAGTAATTATTGACCTTTCAAAGAGACTCCAGTATAATGAAAAAAGTTGCAGTGAGCTTCAGGAAGAACTGGTAATGGTAAGGATTAAAAAAGAATACCCTTTGGCAATGACTTTATTGGGTCAAATGTGATGTGAGCACGTTTTCTCTCACTAAAGGCCAAAATAATTGAAAAATAATTTAGTAACATATTGATAAAAAAATTTCAAAACTGGAGACGCTGAGTAGTAACAACAGTGTATCTAAAAAAAGCTCTGATTCGGAATGATGGGGTGGCTAGTTGAATTATTGAAATTTCTAAATTATGGAACGATTGAAAATGTGTTCAAGAATTTTTATCATCTTTTTTGTTTACTCACGTAAAACCGTATCAGCTGGGTTTGTTTAGAGGCTGTTGGATTTATAACCAGTAGATCAAATTATAGGTTCTGCAGATGGCTTTTCGTCATTACCGTTTTGTGCCTGATCTCCCTCTTTCTCTCTCTAGTCCACGGTGATCTTTCATTTTGTTGTTGTTGTTATGTGTCATTGAGTCACCTCCGACTCATAATGACCCTATGTCTAACAGTCTTAACCCCTGCTCTATCCTGTGCCAATGTTATTGTCTCTGACACATCTACCCCTATTACCCAAGTCACTGAATCAATCCTTCTCATTCAGGATCTTCCTCTCTTGTGCTGTCCTTCTGCCCTCCCAAATGTGATATCACTCTCCATGGACTGGTCCCTCCTTGCAACATGTCCAAAGTATGTTAGACGAGGCCTCAGAATCCTTGCCTCCAAGGAACAGCCAGGCTTTACCCTCTCCAGGATGAACTTGTGTGTTTTCTTAGCAGTACATGGTATATTCAGTACTCTTCTCTTGCACCACAGCTCAAAGGCATCAATTCTCCTTCTATCATCCTTAGGCATTGTCCAGCTTTGTGATACATAGCAAGTGATTGCAAAGACCATGGCCTGTATCGGGTACACTTTAGTCTCCAGGTTGACATCGTTCCTCTTCAGTACTTTGAGAGGTCTCTCACAGCAGACTTTCCCTAGTGAAATGTGTCACTTAATTTCCTGGCTGCTGGTAGAGCCAAGCAAACTGAAGGTGTTAACAATCTCATTCTCTTCACAGTCAATCATGATGCTACCATTCTGCCCAGTGGTAAGAATCTTTGGTTTCTTAATGTTGAGCTTCAATCCATATTGAAGGCTGCAGTACTTGACCCTCTGCATCAAGCGCTTCAGTTCCTCCTCAGTTTCAACAAGCAGAGTTGTGTCATCTGCATAACGCAGATTGTTGATGAGTCTGCCTCCAATCCTGATGCCACATTTCTCCTCATAGAGCCCAGCTTCCTGGATAATCTGTTCTGCATATAGATTTAGAAGATACGGAGATAGGACACATCCTTGGCGCACAACCTTCCCAATATTGAACCAAGTAGTATTTCCTTGCTCTGTTCTGATGATTGCTTACTGGTCCACCTATAGGTTTCACATAGCACAATCAAGTGTTCTGGGATTCCTATTCTTCTCGGAGTCAGGCACACCATGGCCAAATTTACCTTTCTAAAATATTTATCTCATTTTATCAGTCTCCCTTTATTAAAAAATTACCAAGGTCCCCTGGTGCCTTTAAAAATAAAGTGTCCAGTTGGTTTATCCTGCAGTTATTTCTTTTATCTCCACATGACTTTTCCTATTTCTTCTACCATTCCACTCTGTTTTGCTCTTGTCCCCTCCTCCCCTCACACACAAAGTAATCAACACCAAACCTTTTGGCTTTCTAACTACATTCTGTACTCTCTTCTTTCTCTCTCTCTCTCTTTTTTTTTTTTTTGACCAACATTGGCTGAAATGCTATTTCTCTTCTTTTCTACTAGTCAATTCCTATAACAATCCTGTAAGGCTCATGTCAGATATCTTGTTGTCTGTGGATTAAACATTGTTTACAGGTAACAAGTATGACTTTTTAAGAGTCATGATTTCTTTTTTTTTCTTTTCTTTTTTAAGAGTCATGGTTTCTTATTCTTACTTTCACCTTATGCTAGGACTTTCCCCCTTCCCAATTTTATTTTGATAGCACCAAGTATATCATAACACTTTCTCATAACAGTTATTAAGCCTAAGCTATATTATCTCACCCAAGGGATAAGCGATTGTAAGTGAATGAACCTCGCTCCTTATTTTGCCTTTTCTGAGGGTTTCAATCCACCAGTGGTTCTGTAGGAGAAAGAGGCGCAGTCCCTTCCTATGTGATTTACAGCCGCCAAAAGCCCACTCGAAGGGCAGGTATGAGTTGATTCTGACTGAAGGACAGTCGTGGTTTTTTAGAATTTCTTTACATCCCCGCTTTCTACTATTCTGCTGCCTCAGTGAAGTTTGTTGATTGGATTTATTTGCTTGCTGCAGCATATTCTTACCCTGCAGTTTAATGGAACCTCCAACAGACAGAGTATACAATTTAGAGTAATATCCTATTTACTCATTGTCTTGTTCCCTGCAAGCAAACGTTCCTCAGGAACTTGGCAGCTTTACTTTCATTTACGTTCTACAAGACTTAGTGAGTTTACTTGTCAAGGAAAAGGAATATTATATTTCCTTGTCATGAAAGGTGGAGATTGTTGAATTGCACTGTAAATTGGTGGCAATCATTATTGCCTAGACAAAAAAGGCAAGTATATGGCAAGATTGAAACTTTTTAATATTTTCCCAATGATCCATTATTATACTTTCAACTCATGATGTTCCGTATGCTACAGTTTAGAGTTTGATCTCATTACTTGATCTTTGTTTAAATTTGTTGTTAATAATTTGAATGTAGAGTTTCAGAAAGTTCAAAGTTCTCACTATGCAGCCATGGTAATAAAAATAGCTAGGAAAGCAACAGATACAAAGGCCAATTGAACAGAATTGAAAAAGAAACTCATTCACCTATGAACAGGTGATCTGTGACAAAGAAATGAAATCCATCAAGTAGAGAAAAGACAGTCTCTTTAAGAAATGGCGTTTTCAAAACTAGATATTTATTTGCAGAAAACCAAAAACAAGATCCGTACCTCAGACCCTATAAAGAAAATAAGATGGAGCAAAGACTACGTATAAAACCTAAACCTGTAAAGTTCATCGAAGAAAATATTGGAGCAAACTTAGGAGCTCTTTCTATGGCATTAGTCGACTCTCAAATAGAACTGAAAATAGACAGAAGATAAAATAGATGATTGCTGTTTTGTTAGGTTCCACTGAGTTGACTTTGACACGTAGTAGTTCTGTGAATAACAGATCTGAACCTTGTCTTATCCTGTATCATCCTCATCATGTCTCATATAAATTGGTGCTTCCTTTGCTGCTTCATGTTGTACACTCTTGAGCTGTAACGACCCACCCAGTCATCTCTGAAATAAATGAGTCCATTGATACAGTCACTGCGTCAGTCCATTTTGTTGAGGGGTTTCCTCTCTTTTGCTGACCTCCCACCTTTCCGAGTGTGCTGTCATTTGTCTAAGGATTGGTGCCCAGAGTCTATGAGATGAAGTTTCACCCTCCTTGCCTATAAAGGACACCCTGCTTGCTCTGTCTCCAAGATCAATTAGTTTGCCCCTTTGGCAGTCCATAAGGATATTCTCCAACACCCCAGTACTCTTCTCCAACACCCCAACTCATTTATTATTATTCTCTCATCCTTAGTTATTGTTCAACTTTCAGATGCATAATAAATAATTGAAAAGTCTATGGCTTGAATCAGGTGTACCTTAGTCTTTAAACGGACTTTGTTACTCTTTAGTATCTGAGAGAGTTCCTTGGCAGCAGATTTTTCCCAATCATTAAAAAAAAATTATTGGTTGCATATAGTAAATTGTTTATATAGTGTTTCATTCATGGATATTGGTGTTTTTCCCTCCCCGCTTCCTCCACGCATCACACTCTGCGTGATTTCCCTCCATGTCCACCCGTGGCCCCCGGCCCCTCCCTCTCTTTGGATATTCATATGCATCTTGCTGGTTATTCTTCCGTTTTTACAATAACCGTCTTATATGGCATTCGTTCTTATGTACCTGAATTCACTCGTTCAGCATAAAGCTCTCTAGCCTCTCACATGTTATATAGTATTTTTCAAAATCGTTGCTTTGGCCTTTCATTTTTGACTGATGGTACTGGTGTTATTGAACCAAGTAAGATGAAAGAGTGGACAATTTCAATCTTTTCTCCATCTATCATGATGTTGTCTATTGGCCTATTGTGAAGATCTTTGTTTTCCTGTTGTTGAGATCTAATCCAAATTGGAAGTCTTTGCTCTTCAGTAACAAGTATTTCAAGTACTCCTTGTTTGCAGCAAGCAAGGTTGTGCAATCTGCATAACACAGGTTGTTGATAAGCCTTCCTCTGATCTTGATACCACGTTCTTCTCCATATAGTTCAGCTTCCCAAAAGATTTGTTTAGCAGTCACATTACACAGCATACAACCCTGATGTATGCCTTTCTTAATTTTTAAATCATACAGCGTTCCCTTACTCTGTTTGAGCAACAGCTTCTTGGTCTAGGTATAGGTTTCATATGAACACTTACATGTTCTGTGATTTCCATTCTTTTCTGTGTTAGCCATAGTTAGTTATGAATCACACAAATGCTTTAGCATTGTAAAAAACCTACAAATTGACATTCTTCTGGTATTCTCTGCTTTCAGCCAAGATCCATCTGACATCCTAGCCTATTTTAGATGATCTTCAGCAATACTTTTCTTGCATGTCATATTAATGTATTTTTAAATAATTCCCTTGTTTTCTTGGGAATAGGAACAAGTATTGTTATCTTCCAGCCAAGTGACCAGATTGTTGTCTTCCAAATTTTCTAGCACTAGGTGGTGAGCATGTTCAGGGACTCATCTGTTAGTTGAAACAATCAATTGGTATCCTACTCATCCCTGGAACCTTATGTTTTTGCCAACACAAAAAATAAGTTCAGTGAAGCTTGAACTTCTCCTCTCATGATTATTGGGTTTTTATCATGTGCTACTTCCTGAAATAATTCAGTGTTGACCATTTTTTTTGGTACCGTGATGGTGTGTATTACCTCCATTTTAACAATATAAAAGA